ACCACCCTGGCTAACATGGTGAAACCTCATCTCTACTAAAAATAAAATATTAGCTGGGTGTAGTGGCACGTGCCTAGAAGTGGTTCCAGTTTCTCGGGAGGCTGAGACAGGAGAATTGCTTGAACCTGGGAGGCAAAGGTTGCAGTGAGCTGAGATGGCGCCACTACACTCCAGCCTGGTGACAGAGCGACACTCTGTCTCAAAAACAAAAAACAAATAAACAAAAACTTTGTTACGTTATTTGGTCATTTGACATTAATATTCCATGATGGCTATGATTTTTGACTTAAAGTTCTGGTCTGCCTTAGAATTTTAAAGCCAAATTTAAAAAAAAGGAAATAATTTTTCCCCCAAAGTCAGTATAATTTCACATCATTGCCCAGGCTGGTCTCAAACTCCTTCCTGGGCTCAAGCTATCCACCTGCCTAGGCCTCCTAAAGAGTTGGGATTAAAGGGGCGAGTTGCTGCACCTGGCCTCTTCTCTCTCTCCTTTTCTTTTTTTTGACAGTGTCTTGCTCTGTCGCCTGGGCTGGAGTGCAGTGACATGATCTCAGCTCACTGCAACCTTCATCTCCCTGGTTCAAGCAATATTCCTGCCTCAGCCTCCCAAGTAGCTGGGTTTACTGGCGCATGCCACCACACCTGGCTAGGCTAATTTTTTTGTATTTTTAGTAGAGATAGGGTTTCACCATGTTGGCTAGACTGATCTTGAACTCCTGACCTCAGGCAATTCACGCTCCTTGGCCTCCCGAAGTGCTGGGATTACAGGCCTGAGTCACGACACCTGGCCTTCTCTCTTTTGAAAAAATTAATTTCTACTTTTATTTTAGATTCAGTGGGTACATATGCCGGTTCGTTACATGGGTGTATTAGTTTATTCTCATGCTGCTGATAAAGACATACCTGAGACTGGGTAATTTATAAAGAAAAGAGGTTTACTTGACTCAGTTAGGAAACTTACAACCATGGCAGAAGGCATAGGGGAACAGGAGATAGAATGAGAGCAGAGCGAGTGGAGAAGCCCCTTATAAACCATCACATCTCAGGAGAACTTATGAGAATAGCATGAGGGAAACCACCCCCGTGATTCAGTTACCTCCCACCGGGTTCTTCCCACAATATGTGGAGATTATGGGAACTACAATTCAAGATGAGATTTGGGTGGGGACACAGCCAAACCATGTCAGTGGGTGTATTGTGTGAATTAGTTAATCGCGCACCTCAATTTTTCTTTTAATTTTTGGGTTTTCTTATTCCCTTAAAAGAAGCCCTCACCCGTTTCATGTCACGGGGACATTGTCCCTGAGTTGCTATATAGTGGCTGTACTGTTTTCAAGCTTTCTGCATAACTGATTATGTAGTGGTTGTTATCCTGATTAAGTGCGGTGTAAGTGCTATCCACAGTTTTTGTTGTCACAGTACGATTCGCTCTTTGTTTCCCACACTACTGTTTTTGATCCTATAGACATGTTTGTACACCTCTAGAACACCGCAGCATTTTGTATTGGATTGGATTCTCTCCACACACTTTGACGCTGCTGTCATCAGCTATCACTTTGAAAGACATTTCCCAAATCTGCCCTCGGATTTATTCTCAGCCAGCCAACTTGCGTTTCAGAGATTTGATGGGCGTCGCTCGATCCTCAGATTCAGTGTGTTATATGTGACTTTTATTACCTTCTATTTCAATACTCAGTCAGCTCTGATAGCCAGTGACACAACTGTTTCTCTGTTCCCTGCTCCCTGCCCGCCCCACCCCGCCCCCTTTTTCTTAAGCTGTGGATTAGCAAACTATGGCCCACTGACCAAACCTGGCCTGCTGCCTGTTCTTGAAGGTAAAGTTTTATTAATATTAGATACCCATTCATGTTAAGTAGTGTCTGTGGCGGCGTTTGTACTAATGTCACAGAGTTAAGAAGTTGCAATAGACCAGCAAAGCCTAAAATGTTTACTTTCTGACCCTTTCTTTAGACTAAAACTTTGACATTACCTTGGATTCCTCCTTTGGTATTTTTCAAGTATATTCTAGCAGGAGAACTAATCTCCTTTTGTTTTTTTTAGTCATCATCATCTTTTTAAAAATCTTCTTCGTGCCTTCTGGCTCTCTGATCCTTTTGCCTAGGGTATTAAATTAATTTCCTTACCTCCTGGCTTCTTTTCCCCTTCTATTTACGGCAAACAGAAGGGGAATGTCAATGTCAAATGTATTGACTTTTTACACTGTGTTACTAGTGTTATGTTCCCAAAGTTCTACTCATTAGAGACTCTCTAGCCTCTTAAGTTTCTTTCCACAATATAAGTCCTCTTATTCTCCCATATACAGAAACTCTTTCTATTAATCTAATGAAACACTTTCCTCCTCCCTGTCCTTGTTCATGCTCTAACAGCTGCCCTGAACTCTGTCACCTCCATCATCTCCATTTTTCCCGCTCCTGTCTTGCCAATACAGTCCTCCTAACTTTCTTCATGAAGCTTTTTCCTGTGTTTTCTGCATGTTCTTCTCCCCCTTCATGACGTGTTAGCTATCCATCTCTCTGTCACTAAGGGCGCCTTACTGGATGCTGTGTTTTCTGTGTTCTTTTATATCTCAAATATTACAAAGCATAAGCTTGTTGAGTGCACGGCCCTTGTCTTCTGTATTACCACGTTCTCTTAAACATTCACCGTATTGTCTTAGATATGCTTAATAAGTAATTGAATAGCATTATAGGAAGCAGGCTTTTAATATTTGGATGAAATTACTGGTCATCTCAGGGTCTACCTTGGATGTCTGACAACGATTCTAGGTGTTATAATGAAAGTTCTGGAAGAAACTTGATGTGAACTTCTTTGTATACGTGGCTAATGAAAACGGAAATTTTTTTTATTTGCTAAGGTATTTCACATTTGATACAAGAAAAGTACCTATGTGCATTGATGTGCTTGGTACTGATAAAAAGTAAAACCAGGTGGGAGAGCCAGGCAGTAATTCTCTTGGATGTGCCAGGCAGTCTACCACAGTCAGATTTGTTTTTATTAAGTTTTTTCGGGATTCCAAGAAGGAAAATTCTATCAAAGTGTTCTAAGAAGCTATTGAAATGGAACACAGGTGCTGTTAAAATAGTATTTTGTACTCTGTCTGTTCATTTATTTAATGATTCTCTGTGTACTTCCCAGAAAATTTTGATGTGGCTGCTTGTCACAAAGAGCCCAAGTTTTTGTTGGCGTCTAGTTCTGAATTTGTACTCTAGAAAAAGCTGACAGAGACAAACACTGTGCTCAGTTGACAGCCTTAGAGTTTAATGTCACATGTACAGAAACTGGGCTGCAATGCCCTCACCTTTCTCAGAAACCTAGAGGTTGCTTGTCGTGATGGAAGGAGGGACCCAATTTGGTACATAATATGCAATGCCCAAAGATAAAAGTCAGCAAGCATCAAAACATGCTCCAGAACCCGAACTCATGCAGAAGAATGGAAGACCTGAAAATTTAATTTTAAGATGGGCAAAGGATTTGAGTAATTTGTAGAAAAAGGTATAAGTTCTGCTTTGTTCACTACTGACTTGTAGCACGAAATAAATGTTTACTATATCAGCACATACCTGAATGATAATGTCACATCAAAATATATTGCCAGCACCCGCTTGAGTAAAGAAGTGCTTAAAAAATAGCCATATATGTATACCTTTGAACCAACATTTCTGTTTTATAGATTTTTTTTTTTCTTTTTGTCTTGCTCTGTTACCCGGGCTGGAGTACAGTGGTGCCATCATAGCTCACTGCAACCTTGAGCTCCTGGGGCTTAAGTGCTCCTCCCACCTCAGCCTCCACAATAGCTGGGACTGCAGACATGTGCCACCACGCCTAGCTAAGTTGTTTATTTTTGGTAGAGACAAGGTCTTGCAATGTTGTTGAGGCTGGTTTCAAACTCCCGGGCTCAAGTGATCCTCTCACCTTGGCCTCCCAAATTGTTGGGCTTACAGGTGTGAACCACAGCACCCAGTTACTTAGAATTTATGGTAGGGAAATAATTACACAACTGAGTGTGGATTTCACATCTGTGTTTCTGTAATCCAGAAGTACTTTCTCAAACATTCTGTCTATTGTATGTACAAAGCACAAGCTTGTTTTCCATATATGCTTGCCTATGTGAGGGATAGCCTGGTGTCTGGAAGTAAGCATATGCAATCAACTATAGCATGTCTCTGGGGAGCAGTGCTGAGGAGACGTCTGAATTACTGGGACATAGGGTGTTATACCTTTTATTTACTCTTCTCTGTTTCAGTTTTTTAAAGGTATATTCTACTTTTATGTTGGTCAAAAGACTAGGAAATAATCTATTAAGTTTTAGGCATATTGTCGTTAACATTTAAAATAAGTAACCTACTTGAAGACTTAGCTTGCCTATCTGGAAAATGTAGTTTTCAGGAGTGATTCATGTCCTTAGGAATAAAGTAAAAAATAATGGATTTTTTTGGTTTTGTAGTGAGACAGTAATGAAAGGCGTTGCCAGATTGGATTGCTATTGTGTTCTTTAATGCTATGATAAATAGACATGTTGTACAAAATTTTATTATGTTTTCTTTAACCAGTTGTAAGAAAATCCTGTTTCAGGCCCGGCGCGGTGGCTCACACCTGTAATCCCAGCACTTTGGGAGGCCGAGGCGGGTGGATCACGAGGTCAAGAGATCGAGACCATCCTGGTCAACATGGTGGAACCCCGTCTCTACTAAAAATACAAAAATTAGCTGGGCATGGTGACACGTTCCTGTAATCCCAGCTACTCAGGAGGCTGAGGCGGGAGAATTGCCTGAACCCAGGAGGCGGAGGTTGCAGTGAGCAGAGATCGCACCATTGCACTCCAGCCTGGGTAACAAGAGAGAAACTCCATCTCAAAAAAAATTCTGTTTCATGTGAGATAGGCCTATTATTGTTTGGACAACTAATATGTACTAACAACAGTTTCCAAGAGTATACCCGTGAGCAAAGGAATTCACACTGTTTTCTCTTCAATCTTTTAGAAAAGCTCAAGAGGAGAACAAGAAAATAGTACTGGCTGGATGTGTTCCTCAAGCCCAGCCTCGCCAGGACTACCTTAAAGGACTGAGTATCATTGGGGTAAGCTCGTACCTGGTGCAAAAAAAGAAAATCTTACATTGTTAAAACCTATAATAGCTTCACATTTTATTTTCTATTTGTAGGTTATTTATAAGCTGTTACACTTATGGCTGTCCTAAATATATGTTCCTTATTGTCCCTGAAGCTGTTATTTCTGTGTAACGTTTTCAGCATAGCATAAAAACATGTGTTAGTTTCTCTCATTAAGAAACAGCAACACAAGAAAAAGCCAGGGCCAGGCGCGGTGGCTCAAGCCTGTCATCCCAGCACTTTGGGAGGCCAAGGCGGGTGGATCACGAGGTCAAGAGATTGAGACCATCCTGGTCAACATGGTGAACCCTGTCTCTACTAAAAATACAAAAAATTAGCGGGGCATGGTGGTGCGTGCCTGTAATCCCAGCTACTCGGGAGGCTGAGGCAGGAGAATTGCTTGAACCCAGGAGGCGGAGGTTGTGGTGAGCCGAGATCGTGCCATTGCACTCCAGCCTGGGTAACAAGAACGAAACTCTGTCTATTAAAAAAAAAAAAAAAAAAAAAGAATGAAAGAAAAAGCCATAGTATGGAATTTTCTATCCCTTACTAACCTGGTCTTTGGCTGTCTATTCCCATCACTTTCCAAGTCATTACAATTTTTCCAGCTCTCTCAGCTACTTGCTTTTCACTCCCTAGTACATGGCTGCCTTTTTTCAAATGCCCCACCTCCCTTATGCCCACCCCAACACGTCTCAGCTCCAGCATGACAACATTCTGTAAAGCCATCTCTGTGTCGTCCTCCCTAATTCCTTTCTCTAGTTTCTCTTTGCTTACTGTGCAGTTACCTGTTACATGATTATGTGAATACAGCCCACCTGTGTATTTAAATTGTTAGCCTCAGGAGAATAGTTATTCAGTCTTCTTAAAAAAACTCTCACCATGTTTCTCTAGCCTTTCCCGTGACACCTGGCACATAGTAGGTACTCAATAAGTGTTTGATGCTTGCCTGAGAAAAATGTTCCCCTTGTATTTTGTTGTTGGCGTCCTTTTTTCTCTTTGGGCAGTCAGCTCTGTGCAGTAAGGAGACTACTGTCTTTTCTCTCTCTCTTGCTCTTTGTAGCCAATCACTCTTTGCAAAATGCCCTGAAGTAGCTGATATTCAGCCAATATGCATTGATCAAATGATGGTGCTGTTTCCTTCCCAACATTCTACTGAAGCTATAGGTGATAAGCTCAGCAATGTTGTTTGTTTAAAAAGCTTACATTAATTTAAATAAATATAAAAACGCTATATGCTCATAGAAGTTGACGTGATTATTTGGCATCTGCTTTGAACTTTATAATGCATGTTTCCTTAGTTGATATGCTACTCAGAGGTTCCTGTATCATTTTCTCAGTGTAATGAACTTGTTTTCTGCTGTGAAGTCCTTACCCCACTAGCAAATTTAATAATCTTTGAACAGACATTCTCACTCTAAACAAACAGAACCTGAATGTTTGGTAACTTTAGTTTGTTTTTACCATTTGTCTATTTACATTTTGATTTCTCTTGGTTTAAAAAATGAAATGAATATGGGACTCCCAAGTTATCTTTTCACGTAAGACTAACTTTCTTTGTAAACATAATCCTGCTTTCATAGGGAAATAGGAAACTAGTTGGAAGTCTTTTTTAGAGACGGAATGTGGTAAAAGCTTAGAGTTCACCTTAGATTTCATCTCAAGCAATGCAGTTATCAGAATAGCAGGATTTCTTTAGTATCACAAAAGCCTCTTCTGTGCATACATTATGGCAACATTTTTTTGAACTCCATTGTGGGCAGGGAAAAGTGCACACAATGTACACTTAGGATGTACAGGAGATTCTCCCTTACAGCGTAAGGGAGGACACTGTGTTATTAATGTGGGTTTATTTGCCAATGTCACAGCTTTGTGTTGGCCCTGAAAATTGAACCAGCACAAAGCTGTGACAGAGCAAATAAACATTTTTTTTTCTATTTAATCCAGCACCATTTTTGTTCTGCTACATATTCCCATTAACATGTTTATTACCATTAACATTCTTCTTTTTAAAACTTCTAAGTTCAGGGACACATGTGCAGGTTTGTTAATAGGTTAAACACGTGTCTGTTATACAGGTTATTTCATCACCCAGGTACTAAGCCTAGTACTCATTAGTTACTTTTCCTCATCCTCTCCCTCCAGAAGGCCCCAGTGCGTGGTGTTATCCTGATGTATCCATGTGTTCTCATCATGTAGCTCCCATGTAAAAGTGAGAACGTCTGGTATTTGGTTTTTTGCTCCTGCATTAGTTTACTAAGGATGATGACCTCCAGCTCCATCCATATTCCTTCGAAAGACATGCTCTCGTTTTTTTTTATGGCTGCATAGGATTCCATGGTGTATATGCACCACGTTTTCTTTGTTGAATATGTCATTGTACATTGATTTCATGTCTTTGCTTTTGTAAACATGTATGTGTTTTTATGGTAGAATGATTTATATTCTACTGGGTATATACCCAGTAATGAGATTGCTAGGTCAAACGGTAGTTTTGCTTATAACTCTCTGAGGAATCGCCACACTGCTTTCCACAATGGTTGAACTAATTTACACTCCCACCAACAGTGCGTAAGTGTTCCCTTTTCTCCAGTCTTGTCAGCATCTGTTATTTGTTTGACATTCTGATAATAGCCATTCTGATTGGCATGATGTAGTAAGTATCTCACTGTGGTTTTGATTTTCATTTCTCTAACGATCAGTGACATTGAGCTTTTTTTTTATATGCTTGTTGGCTGCATGTGTGTCTTCTTTTGAAAAGTGTCTGTTCATGTCCTTTGCCCACTTTTTAATAGGGCTGTTTGTTTTTCTCTTGTAAATTCGTTTACGTTCCTTATGGATGCTGAATATTAGACCTGTGTCAGATGTGTGGTTTGCAAACATTTTCTGCCATTCTGTAGGTTGTATATTTACTCTGTTGAGAGTTTCTTTTGTGGTTTTGTTCCTTCACATAGTCTCGTTTTGTTACCACTAGTAGTCTTTAGGTTTATTTTATTTTGTTCATTTATAGTTGGAGAATAAGAATGCATTTCGAAAAGTGAATAGACATAAAATCTAAATTTCTGTCACCATAATGCAGTTATAATTTTGCTTATCTCCTGCAGACTTAACCTTGGCATCTTTTGCTTAATTGTAATCTCAAAACTATTTCATATTCTTATTTTTATATGTTATTCCATGAGCTTTTTAACCATTATTAAGTCTGGCATTAGTGTTTGATTGAAGGATGTATCATAATATACCTAACTATTTCTTAATTATTGGATATAAGAATTTTCAAGTTTTTAGGAAATATACATAATACATTGATGATCTCACTGGTCTTTTATTTTTAGTTTAAAATTAGTATATTATGAAAAGTTTCTGAAAGTGGGATTACACTATCATTAACATTTCAGAGGTGTAATTTAATTGTATGTTTGCCAGCTTTAAGTATTATTAAAGTAAAAGATTATTATTTGTTAATATCATTTTGTAGAACATTTATTTTCTGTGGCAGGTATGTGACATTTTATTTATTGTCACTGACCTTTTTATATATGAAAATTATGTCCACATAATTGAACATTGTGAAAACAAATTACAAATCAGGAAACAAAAATTATCTATAATTTTATCTTTAGGGAGACATATTTTTGAATAGAACTGTTCTGTAAAATTGCTGTATAACTAGAAACCTTCTGAAATATAGTGAGTTACAATGAAATAAAGAAATAAATTCTATTTTATACAAAGAGAAGACAATTCTGAAGTGCAAAAAGAATAGATGTTTAAATTCAGTGACTTGGGAAACTATTTTTAGCATGCAGTTTAGAATTGTATTACAAGATTGAGTAAAGAATGTTACTCCCTCACAAAATTTCTATGATGGGAGGATGTTAACAGAGGTGGAAGGAAGAACGACCGTAACTACATTCTTTGCTTTTACCTTTTGCCAGCCTTTATCTGTCAACTCACAGTACAGGGAGAATTTGTCAGTTCTGTTGACCAGCTGATAAAAGTCAAAAGCTTCCATGAGGTGAGGATGGTAGGGCGAGCAAGCTACTTACTGCACATCTGAGCTAGAGGACTTCTATTGTACTCTTTGAAAGCGCTCATAGAGTAGGCATTTAAGAAGATATTAACAGATAAAGAGAGACATTACTACTATCATAACATGCTAGTTTCCATCAATATCAGCCTGTAGGAATGGGGCATTTATTTTAGTAATAAGAGTAAGGCAGTGTGGTGAGAACACATAGCAAGCCGTTATTAGACCTCTGGGCCTTTGATTATCAGCTGTCCCACTGTCTCCTGAAATCACCGAGTTGTGAAATGTGTGGAAAGAAAATAACAGAACATTTAAACCAGAAATAAAGCCTGTCATCCTCTGGGTCCAGATGCGCTGGCTTTGGTGGCTGTAACCTGTGCTTCTCCCATCGTGGAGCAAAAATCTGTGCACAAACCTGTCTAATTTATTCACAGTGGAAGAGGAGAAAGAACAGATTTGAAAACATAAATGTCTTGAATAAAAAGTTTTAGCCAAAACTTTTTTTTTTTAGAGACGGAGTCTCCCTCTGTCGCCCAGGCTGGAGTGCAGTGGCATGCTCTCGGCTCACTGCAACCTCCGCCTCCTGGGTTCAAGTGATTCTCCTGCCTCAGGCTCCTGAGGACGATCTGGGACTACAGATGCCCACCACCACGCCTGGCTGAATTTTTTGTCTTTTTAGTAGAGATGGAGTTTCACCATATTGGCCAGGCTGGTCTTAAACTCCTGACCTTGTGATCCACCCACCTTGGCCTCCCAAAGTGCTGGCATTATAGACGTGAGCCACCATGCCCGGCCGCCAAACCCTTTTTCTTAGCATGAAGTTTAAATTTTATATCTAGATGATGTCTGTTTATCAGGAACCAGTGTAGAATCAAGATCTTTTTGTCTTTCTTTAGGACATTGAAACATTTTACTTTACACTGAAAAATTTCCTTTCTCT